TATGTATGTCAATGGCAATGTGTAATATGCACAGATGAGTATATACGTGTATGTATGTATTATATGTATATATGTTACATACATACATATACCGATGTTATTTCGAACAGCTGCTGAAAGGTCCTGTCTGCTCTATGCTGAGATGCATTCTACTCAATTTTTTATCATACATAGATACTTCAATAAAATATAAATTTATGCTACTTTCCTGCCTTTAGTTTTATTTAAATAGCGCTAAGAATAATTATTTCACTTATGAGTATTGATCTCTATGCTCTTCTTAAAATCGTGTTTTGCAGTAAAATATTTTCAATTTTTTCTTACTCTCAAAATAGTTTACAGAGTTAACTTAAATATGTATGTATCTATTTTGTGATTTATTGTCTGCGTATGTTTGTATTTGATTAAAATTTCCTTTAATTACATATGTATGTATGTTGCATGCAATATGTCGGTAACTATTATCGTATTATATATATATGTATTTATATCTAATCATAATATAAAAAATATATAACACTACTTAATGCCATAAAAAAATCAAATATATTCTTAATAATTTTTAATCAACCAAAACACCGTAGAGTAATTAAAAGTGTTTTTTTATAACTATACTTATTTCACTTTCTGTGCTGTTAGTTCTTTTTGTTAGCTAAACAAATCATATATTTCTATTGAATAAAATAAATCAAAGAAATTAAATATAATTGTCGGAAATGTAATATATGGATGTATGCACATATGCACTAAAGGTCTAAAGCAGCGCTAGAAGCTCGATATATTGTGTTTTTCAACAAGTTTTGCATTTTGTATAGATACATTTTAAGTTATAGAAAAAAGAATTCTGAGAAAAAGTTGAAATTTTTGTTTAAATGCTCGAGTTGTTGGTGGTACACTATGTTTTTAAAAGAAAAAAATAATTCCTCTGGTCATTACATTGATATAAATACACGTATATGCATGTATACGTATGTCCATACAATATATAGGCGTGCAGAAACAAATTTATCAAAACTGTATGTAGACACTTAGGAGTTCAGTTCTGAATTGATGCCAAGGGCTGAAGAGGGAAACAAGTGGGATGAGAGTTCTAGTGTATTGGATGAAAGAGTAAAGTAATGCTATGTCTGAATTTGGTATCCTTACAAAAAGCAAATAAAGCCGTGAGCACTGACGATAGATAATACCATAAGAGCAGTCAGAATTGGAGAGGACTTATTACGTCCGCCACTGCGAGTGTATTTCGGACATGAAATAAAGCTCCGTCGGAGCGCGGCTTAGTATTAACTGTGAGTCCCTTCAATTGATGGGAAAACATCAAAAGGCAAAACCACAAATTGCAAGCGCCAATTTTATTTATATAATATCGATATCCTCTGCGCACGCAAGCAGCTGTATACTCTTATTGTAGGTTGTACCTTCTCTGCGATCAGGGTTCACTGGCGCCAAAAAGCGAAAGCGAAATGCGCGCATAGCGAATTCGGTAATACATGGACTTTTGAAAGTGAAGAGGAAATGCAAATCTGAAATAAAAGCATAGTAGTAAGGTTGTAATAACCCAGTTGTAAAAGACTAAGTTAATTGCTCAAGCTTAAAATAGGATTTGTCGTTGCTGCAGGAATAACGATTATTTTCACAAAAAAAAAACAAATTTTCTTCGTTTTTTTAAACAATATTACCAATCACATAAAACCGTATTTACATCTAATGATAAAATAATAACCATGCAAACAAATATTGAAATATTGAAAATGATATAACTTTATGAACAGCCTTATTAAAACTAAAAATATATGCCTCCATCCCGAACCTCAATTTTTTCACTAAATTGTTAAAAGGCGAAGTTTTTCTTCCGATATAATAACACAAATAATTAATATAACAATCAACACAATATAAATATATAAAAGAACAGAAGATTTAGCAATTTGTTATTGGTTCAATACGAGTATGTACTTGTATTGATAAGGAAATTATAATATTATCGGTTTTTAACAATAAGTCCTTCTAGATTAACTGGTACGATGGTTTGAAAAAGACTTGTGTTACTGGAATAAATTATAAATATAATCATTTTTATAAATTTTGATGTGTACATTACAACTTTGCATTCGAAACAGGAAAACAAAACAGTGTCCACAATGTCCATAATTATTAATTATTGGAGGAAGCAATTGGCAGTTTTATTGTTTCATATTGAATGTACAAGTGGAACTTAGTTTGATGAGCAATAACTTAATTAGAACGGATTGTTAAAACAAGCATTAAAATGTGTCGAATAAAACAAATTTTTTCATAAGGCAGCGTGTGAGAAAAGGATAAATGTTTGCTTATTTAACCTCGTTTTTAGACACATGAACACTTTCCTTGTTCGAACTTCATTGCTCTAACATAGCCGATCTTATTTTATGCGATGAATTTAAGCGTCAAAGAGTATAATAGTTTTTCTGCACACTTTTATTTTTGCTTTTTTTTTTCATCGCAAAAATGCTCAGCAGCTTCAAAACAATAGCCACGAGCCGTGGGTTTGTTTATGTATATAAAAAATTTTCCTCACTTATTTAATTTTTTTTCAACTGACTTTGGAAGCTGTATCCCCATTTGAATAAGAATTTTATGCATAATGATGAAACTTTATTTTAAGAAACTTCGTTACGACAATGATGACGCATTCATTTATCAATATACTGTAAGAACAAATCCAAATTTTTTCAAAATTTGTTCAGCTGGTGCTTATTCAAATAGTACAAAAGGCATCACTAGTGCCACTAAGGTCGGTTAATCATCAGGTCGCCAGATAACATAGCAAACTTTCTTATACAAGGTACTTCGAAAAACTTTAGGAAGTAAAAAGACGTCGTAAAAGTAAGATTAAATAATTTCCTATTAATTCAAAAGTATGTTAGGACTGAATAAGTTGATTGCATGTATATTATGTCCTAATGTGAAACAATAATTTTAGTGTCAAAGAACTTACAATTCAAGATATTCCATATGTATATACTCGTAAATACTCTCACTTCTTTAAAAGTACAGTTATTTTTAATATTAATTTAATATTTATCTAATACTATTTAATACAAATTAAACTCTAATTTAATAACATAAAGTGCTAAGAAGAATAGCTACTTACATTAATTTCCAATATTCTTATTATAATATTAATACAACAATTAAGTCTTGGTCATAGGCTCATCTCTCTTCACTTACATATACTCGTATCTATATGAATACACACGTATTTATGTAAGAATGTCGTGAGTTAATGTGTTCTAAGAGCTACTTTTTCAGTTACCCAAATTATACTCAAACTACATAAGGTTACATTCGTAATTAAATAGCATGGTTTCATTAAAAATCTAATATGTGAAATTTCAATTTCACTATTATGCATTTAGTTGGTTTTAATTTTTAACAACGGCGCAATAGTATTGACTCATTTTTATTTTATTTGTTTAACACTTTATGTTTACTAAAATTTCTAATTAATTGTTTATGTTGTGCGTCGCATAATAAATGCTGGAAAATAGTTTCTAAAAACTAGCAATGGATTTATATTTTAAAAGTTCCGGAGGTTATTTTTTTATCACTACTTAAAGTTAACGTATGTACATACATATGTAGCAATGGTTTTGAATAAAATTGTGATATTGCGATGCTGATATATGCATGTATGTATATATGTGGAATTCCATTCAATAAATATATTCTGTTTATCATCTGGCAAGGAAGAGTTATTTTCAATAACTAATTTTATCTCCTTTTTCATATCAAGATCTCCCTGACTAGATAGCAATATTAAGTAGCGCAAATTATGGATAGAACGGAGCATATGTATGTATGTTTATACAGACAATAAAATAAGCATTGACCATTTTCCATCGAAAAATTAATATTTGCAATAGTCATATTTTCTAGTAGGATCAACATCTGCCCACAAATACTTTGGTTTAATCGAAATTTCGTAAAAAAGTTTAAAGAGCGCGATTTCGGTACTTTTCAAACAAACAATAAACAAGAAACAATAAAATTTACATAATATAATAATACTTGCCAAGAAGCATGACATTCAACATATCCTATCCTCTGCTATAGATATCAGGTAACCAATTTTTGTTAAAAAATTTGAATATTTATAATAAAACCAAAAAGTAACTTCCGAATATAAAATCTTCGACTAGTAAATAAATAAGTTCTTCCTTAGTTTTAAATAAAATACTTATATAGATAACGGTTTTGCTCGAAATAGAGTACGCCATGCATTTAAAAATGAAGAAAGAACTTCGTTTTAAGACAATTTTAGGGAAAGAATTGAGTTTTAATTGCATGGAAAATGCAGGCTCATTTGAAGTGTTGGGTCATTGACTTGAAAGTCTACTCGCCCATAAACTGTGGATTCCTATAGTTAAATAAATGTCATTTGTCACTTCTGTATCAGAGGTCTCATTTTGTTTAAAGTTTGTATGCAAAGTTTTATATTCTTGGTGTTGTGCATGTGTTTTAATTTAGTATTGTTCATTGAAATGGCTCTTTTAAATTTATTAGGGATGAGCAATTTTGAAAAAATTTTAATTTTTATTTTAGATCTGAAGCCTTTAGGGATAAGCAATTTTGGAAAAATTAAAATTTGTATGTTAGATTTGAAGCCTTTTTATCACCCAACAAAACTGACATATTTATGTCATCAATAAATTAAGACACATTTAAGAAGACATCCGTGCGGTAAGTCACAAAATTGAAATTGTATATAAAAGTCATGTATTCAGTTATTTTACATTTCAGGCATTAGCATGAATTATCAGAAAAATAAAGCTAAAAAAAGAAGAGAAATCTCAAAGTGCAATGAATATTTTATATGGAAAACAAACAAAACTTAAAAGAAAGTCGGGTTTCGTGAATAAAACTTAATACGCAAAATAATGAATATTTTTGAACAGAAAAATAAAAATATAAAAGTAAATATTATAACGAAAGCATACAATTTAATTTAATTGTTACTTTTTGGGTGATATGATAAATCTAAATTAATGATTATTTATGATGATCACCACGCGTCAAATCTTGGGAAATATCCCTTCGACTTTTTTAAAGCAGCCTACGCTTTTGACGCCGTAAAAGAAAAACCAATAGCGGTTTTATCTTTTTTTCATAAGGCTCTTCGCAAATAAATCACGTATTTTTAATTGGCGCATAAATTTGAGCATAAATTTGTTATGTTTTTGTCTTCTAGTCGGAAGATACGGAGGGAGGTGTGTGTGTGTATGGTTGGGATATTAAAAACTGCGTTAAAATATTTACTTTAAAATTGTGATCACTGGAAGAGACGCTTTAAATGAATTAAACGAAACTTTAAATTTAAACCAGAATACGCAAATTATCAAAAACAGCGGTATATGATATTCTTTGTTAGCGTGACACCAGATCAGGGCAGATCTGATTGTATTCGATAATTCTTAGGAGAATCTATCGCAACTCAGGAGTTACGGAATGAAAAGATTCTGACAATCACAGTAACTATGAAGCACACTAACAAAAAAAAAAAAAAAAATTAAGAAAAAATAGGGGTTGCTTTTTGATTTGGTCCATAAATTGTAACGAACGAATTGATGCATAAAAGAAAAAACTCATTTTCTTAATCTATTTTTTGTCATTTTTAATTTCAACCATCAATGGCGCTGACTACAACTGACACGTTCTAAAATAGGAATATTAATTCACAGAATTAACTCCCATGCCGCGGAAATATTTTTTTCTAATTAGTTTTGGTAAGTTTTGTCTACAGAAAAAAAAATTCTATTTTAGCACCACCGACATAATCGATCTCTTCTTACTATAGCCACCAGCGGTTTAATATTAATCTGTATTCAAAGTTTGGTAATAATGAAAAGTTGTTATCAAAACGAAAATTTAAAAGTTATTTTATATTCAAATATGAACACACATACATGTACATAGGAACACATGGTATACATGCGAATGTATGAGTATGCGCGCAATCAATAACAAGTTGTAATTTGCCTTTGCCAATTAGATATACGCTTTAATTTTGGCTTATAAATAAAGTGTAAAAATATACATAATATAGGTAAATATATTTAAAAATAAATTGATAAAAAATAACACAAAGACCATTATGTACATACATATGACGATGTGGTTGTGTACTTCTAGTACATACAATATTTGTAAAATTTTTCTTATAAAATGGGAATAAAATTCAAATGCATAAAAACAGGTGAATCTTTTCGTACTTAGAGATACCAGATTTTTTGCTCTTAAACGAATACACAAATTTGTATCAGGCCTAGCATTATCTTTAATCTTTTTGGGGCACAATTCTGCGCGATTTTTAATGTTTTTATCGAAGCTGGTCAGACTGTGGTCACCCGATCGATTTCAACATATCGCACAGAATTTTCGTTTTGTCAGCAAATCACTTCTTTTTCATCTAATATCGCTGTATCCATAGAACTTAACGACTTGAGGCGGGTCTGCAGTACCGATGCACCTCGAAACTTGCGTTTAATTTTTCTGCAATGGTAAGCAAAACGTCTAAATGAGATCTTTCGACATGTTCTTCAAAAGTTTTTAATTATGGCACTCACTTGTATGCGAAAGCAGCAAATGCACAGCAAAGAAATACTATGATGAGACACAAAGTGGCTAATATCTCAGTTGGCAGTTTCATAATGGCCGAACACTGAAGGAAGGTCTCATCGTCACCGGAGGGACAATGTACAACGTCATCACACCAAACGCTTGCGTTAACACATGCACCCAGTTCGGAGCACTTGTACTGACAGTCCTCTGCAAAAGTAAAAAGAGCATTAAAACATTGATAATGGCTACTACTTCAGCTAATTCTGGTTGCTCACCTGCTATACTTAGTACTGGTCTTGGAACCAACTCCATCCAATTGAATGTGAAGTCTCCATTCTCGGGACGCAGATACTCCACGCTAATGGCCTTCGAGCGATTCGCCATTGAGTAAATCGGTCTTTCATTCCATCCTGCACTGAAGATCTCTACATACTCATAAACATTTGAATCGAGCGAAAGCGGACAAGCGGTTATTGTCAAACCTATATAGTGGGATATGGGAATAAACCCGTTACAATGTTCTTGTCTTATTTTTCTTACTTCAATCGATCCATCTGAAAGGATTATTTTAAGTTAAGCGAAGCCTTACCTTCGGAAGTTGTCAGCACAACTCGAGCTTTAGTTTGACACCTATATGAACTTGTACCAATGACGGTGGTGTTCATCGCTTTTTTCGGATAGTATTTACGCAAAAATATCGCTTTTAATCGTACATATAGAAATTTATTTCCATTTGACGGTTCTAGTAGCCAAGGTCGTGTGCGACACTCCATCTGTACTTGCAAAGACAAGAAAACATTAATTTCGAAATTTTTCAAATTTTACTCAAACCATACTCACATCACCGAATGTCATATTTATAGTTCCACTTGGACCAAACTTTCTTCGGCCATCTTTGCAGTTTGCTGGTCCTTTGATGAACTCAAACATTCCTTCGAAATTGATAGCGTCCGGGTCGTCTAACGTGGTCATATTGATTGCAGTTAAATGCACTTCAAGATCACGGCTAGTGGATGTATATTCAACTGGTAGATGTGAAGAGTTTGACGAATTGCAAAGGCATCCTCTTGGTAATAAAATTGAGTCGTGATAGGGCCGTTCGAATATCTATAAAAGAAATTTATTGAAAATATGGAGCAGTATTTTCAGAGTTAGCTGGCTTATAAGATTTTTTTAGAGAATCCATATTTTTTATTACTATAACGATGATGGAGCGTTCATATTAAAAGCACAGTCACGACCCCATATGACATATGACTACACTAAAAGATAAGTCTCGCATTACGCCTCTGTAATGTGTTCAATGTAACTGCTTACTTCAAACAATATATCACGTGCGATGGGATCTACCTTAGCAGATGCTCTGGAAATCTTCATCGATATCAGGCCAATTAACATGCAAGTGACATAAAGCAGTGAAATCTGCTACTGGCACTAAGCACAGCGAACTTAATATTCTCTGGCCTTAATAAAATAGCATCCAACCCTGGGATGAGAGCTTATACAATACTTCCACTAGCCAAGAAGAATTGGTAGAGTGCAAAGCATGTACAGGTGAGAGAGAGGCACGCATAAATGAAGTAATTTAAAACAGTTCAATTGTTGGGATACTAAGGGGTGGGCAAGGATTTTAGTGCTTTCGCTAAATTTTGTAAATTAATATTTGAATATTTACTCAAAGCCGAAATAAAGTTACAAAGTAATTTTGATATCACTGGATTTTTTAAGCTGTACCAAACTAAAAAATCACTTACTTCAATACGAGCGTTAGTATCCCCATAACAAAATGAACGATTAATATCCTCGTCCACACGCGACATACATGGTCTATTCAAAGTGGTCACTTTACGTAATTTGATACGTATACGTTCGCCCCTCTGCCCTTCAAATTTGTAGATGCATTTCAAGTTACGAGTACCGCCACGACCGAATAGAAATGTATTCCGTACGCTTCGAAAGATTGCTGGGTCCTTGCGCTCCATTAGACTGCTGACAAATTTGCGATTACAGTCGATTTCACCTCCGACCAATGGGAGACCGTCCTGATGTAGGTCAATGAACTCATATTTCAGCTTGAATTCTAGTGGACTAATAATTAGATGTTTTTGAAGAAAATATAATAATTAAAACACTCATTAAACTCATTTCTTTCTCTCAACTTACCGCAAAACGGTTGATTCTGTGTTCTTTAGTTCTAATGTAATGCTATCACTGCTGGAGACATAACTTTCGGAGATGGCACAAGGCCTTGCGTATGTTTCATTGATATTGGAACGATCGCAAGTGCGCGGCACTGTACCTCGACAATATCGCGCAATTACATTTGTTGAATTGTGGTTATAATGAGAAAGTAAAGGGTGTAAGGACACATCACTGACACTGTTTAAGGAATAAATTTATATAAGTCAAAATCACGAGTTATGTAAAGTTTTACAAGTTACCAATTGAGATCATTACAGGCGGGCGGCTCTCTCAATGCACCATCCCAGATACGTAGCATTCCACTACAATCCTCTTGCGTCTGCAGTACTCCAATAGCGCCGACTGACGTCTCATCCATCTTTCCAAAATCGAGATCCAAATTGAATTTCATCATCGAGATCCAAACTTTGAAACGTGAAAGCGGCTGATGAATGCCCTGGGCACTCGTGCGACGCGAAAGGCTCAAGTGATCAAATGTCTTAAAGACACCTATGCCCTGCAAATGGTAGAGGCAGGTCGTATTTGGTGCGAGCGAATGCCTTGGGTTCTCTAATATGCCACGACCAGCTCCACGTATCCAAAACTCACACGGCTTCTTATTCTTTGAGTACGTTGGACTCAATACATCAACGAAAATAACTTCAACCTGCAAGTCAAATGGATATTGTGTACATTGAGTGTTAAACATTACATTTTCTTACATCTAATTGGAAACCATAAAGTGGCAGAACATTTGAAGATGTCCCCGTAAATGTACCAAAAGGTGATGTTGTAAACTCCACTAACAATTCTGGCCCGCTGGAGGTTGCTTGTGGTACCGCCTGTCCACCGCCGCAAAACTTTAAAACGATAGGATCTCGTGTGGTGTAGCCATCGTATACTGTTACATAGTCCTATTAAAGTAGAGAAGTTAATTAAAATAAGTAAGTATATGAGGAAATGGAGCAAATTAACTGAAACATTGTTACGTAAATTAATTAATGAAAATCTAATGGGATGGCGGTCGCGGATTCAAATCCATCCAAAAAGTTATAGAAAATTAATTTAAATACTAAGCTGAATTTTCTAATTGCGGTCGCCCCTCGACAGGGAATGTCAACTCCCCCGAGTGTATTTCTGATAAGAAATAGATAACCATCAGCCGTTCGGATACGGCTTAATATAAACTCTAAGTCCCTCCATTTGTTGGAAAAACATCAAGATGCAAAATCACAAATTCGAATAGGAGCTCGGCCGGAAATCCCTTCTGATGCTGATCTAAGAAAGAGTATAATAAGCTTTACCTAAAATTAAAATAAATAACTAAAAAACATGAATGACAGTTAATAGCCGCAGATATACATACACATTCCATTGATGCTTTAAAAATTTAATATTTTATGTTTATTTTACGTAATTTACAACAAAAATAAATTTCAGTACCTCACAGTGAAAAGGATGCACAAAGATTTATCATTAGTGGCGGCGTCTTGTCGACGATTTTTGAATGCAAAACAAATACCGCTATAATCGTGAGCCAACTTGGTGTAATATGAGATAATTTTAACATTATAGTATTGACATTGGGTGAGTGTAGATAACTTCAAAGTATTGAAATGCGCGAATTAATCCTAAAGATTATGAAGATGGCAAAAGTCAGCGAGAAATCGCGGAAACGGTGAAATTGAGTCAGTGTTCTGCATATCATTGAACGCTCCGTGTATGTTCGTGAAAGTCGTGTGTTATATTATATAAAACTAAAACGGCTTATAATAAAATATTTAACGAAAGTGATGCCCGTTGGATTGTACGGAAAATACGCGGAAACCCCCACTTAAGTGATCCAGCTTTAGGTAAAGAACTGCTATTGTAAAATATCTTGAAAAAGCTGTAACCCAGAATCTATACTCTATACGAAGAACCCTCAGAGAAGCTGATTTCAATGGCCGCACAGCTCGAAACAAACCATATGTCAGTGCTAAAAATCAAAGTGCAAGACCTAAGTTTGCAAAGATGCATTTATATAAAGATGAAAGTTTCTGGGTCACTATAATTTTTGCGGTTGAAAGTAAATTCAACCTGTTTAGATCAGATGGAAAGAGTTATGTACAACCGGGAGTTTTCAAGATGTTATATACATACATAAATATGTATAATTGGCCTTGAAACAATTTGTGATTTTGTTTTTCCAATAAATGTTATTTTTATGCATTAAAATAAATGCAGACTCTCTGTGGGGGAAGCCGGTTATTGCAAATACTTCGATTACAATCCGGTTAATTTTTTGGTGCTAAGATGGCTCACCCCCTTCCTCATTCAAAATTAACGTAGCACTGTAGAACATGGTGGAGAGCATGTAATAGTATGGGGATGCATGTCGTCTTCTGCAGTTGGAAATTTGGTTTTCATCAATACTACGATAGGTAAGACTGTGTATTTGTACATTTTAAAAAGAAATTTGTTGCAAAATGCCTCAAAATTGAATATTTGTGACAAGTTTCGGGACTATCAAGCTAGTGATTAGAAACAAAAAACCGGGCGTTGTGCAAAGTTGGCTTATTTGGATCTGTCTGCACATATCACAAACCCCAGCGCAGTGTCCAGATTTGAATATGGTTGAGAATCATGACTATGACTACACGGAGAAGTTAGTGGAAACCATGCCCAAACGTATGAAAGCAGTCATACAATTTTAGTTTTGTTCTTAAAAAAAAATGAAATTTATAAATTTTTTTTGTCACTGCATGATTTTCGCTGTGAGGTACAATTTAATAGTGAAGTTTGTTTTTGTTGTTAATTACATAAATACGAAAAACTGGCATTCAGGTTTTTTTGGAAAATATATTTAAATTTTAAATAAAACTTATTATACTATTTCTTACATAGCTGTAATATATAATACAATATATAATACAATATATCATCGATAGCTGGACGTAGCTGTGGAGATCAAAAACCACATTTATCAAAATTAATCTCTTGACACGGCATAAGCGAGCGCGTCTTGGTCTCGCAGAAGTACGTATATACACCAATAAAATCACAATGGTCATTGCTGTTGTTATCTTCTCGGAATCTTGATGGTTTCTAGTTCCAATGGGTGGATTTGCAAAGGCGGCCTCTTATCTTTTCTAACCGCAATTTCGGAGAAGATTTTTTAATAGAGTGTGGTACTTCTCCATCTACATTTCGGTTTACAGTTCATATCGTTTCGAATTGATGAGAGACTGAACTCAAGTATTGGCAACAGCCTCCTTAGTTTTGTCGAGGTTTACAGAGAGATACCACTAAATTTCTAACCGGATGATAGAAGGATTTATAATAATAAGCCCAACCGACACCAGAGACAATATCCGCTTAGTGTACGGAATATGCCGAGTTATGATTGGCAATTGTTTGTTAAGCGTCGAAATTAAAACCTTTTCAGCCACAGAAAAAATAATTGTTCCACAGCTGGTAATTATGGAATTTTAAAATTTAATTGTCGAGAGAAGTAAGAATAGTCATAATTTGTTTTAGATTACTTTAATAGTAGAGGCCTAAACGGCATAGATACACGAGTTGAAACATTAAAGTTTACCTCAGATAAGAGCAATGAACTATACGCCTAACATTTCTCTACGACTTTCTAGAGTTTGTAGATTTAGAAGCTTTAAACGGTTGGTATAGAGACTAATATTTATCGTAGAGTTCCGTCGGAAATGTCTCAACGCAAAAAGTTAAAGTTGTTATTGAACAGACACGGAAACTTATCGGAATGAACCTAATAATTAGGGTTCCATATCAGTAAAGATAGAAGTTGAGTTTAGGGTACATCATAACACCCAAATCAACATAGTTGAAGACATGCTCTAGACTAGAGTTATTAATTATATAAGGAGAAGGTTGAACAAGCCATATCGTAGTTACCACATCAGATAGTTAAACTGTTTAGATCGTTTTGTAGCAAATATCTTTCGTCGAATGAGGTATATGACTTAAAAAGTTTTACATCAACGAAATATAACAAGATATTTGAATGCTTTATTACCGAAGATATATCGTTTATGAATACCAGAAACAGAATCGGGCCGAGATGACCTCCTTGAGGAACTGCTTATGAGACATTAATTAATATTGATAAAGTGTCTTTAAATGTTACCCATTGTTTTCTATTGCAGAAATTGTTTTCTATTACAGAGATACCCATTGAAAAAGTCAAAAGTTCTAGCTAATGGATGAGAATTGAGTGAATAACCCTATCGAACGCTTTACTGAAGGCGTTGTAGATAACGTTAGTTCGCTTATTATCTCTAAAGGCTTTGGAGATATGTGCCACAAATTAGGAAGGAATTAAAAAGTTTGGTTAAAGGCAAATATAGATTTTCTGCTCAACTTTTCTAAAAACATGTAAGAATCATATCTGAACCATAACTGAAAGAATGTTTTGGATTCATCATAGCTGTAATACATCTTCTTCAGAAATAGTTGGTGAGTTAATTATTGTTTTTGAACGTAAGTAATGCTAACAGGCGGACAAGCCACTTCCAGAGTTAGTTGAATAATTTGATTTAAAAAATTCAGCGAACGTTTCGGAAATACTTAGACTGTCATATGTCATAGTAGATTCGTATTTCAGAGCGGACGGAAAAGTAGAAAGCTTACGTTTGGAGGTAACTAAATCGTAGAACAGATTTGGATTGCGTAAAATATTTTTCTTAACTTAAGTTAAGTAAAGTTAGGTTAAGTAATCAAACAATCGTTATTATGATAATACAAATTAGCTGAGGGCTGCCATTATTACCAAATGGTCTAACCTGGGTGTCGCTGTGTTGAGGAAATTGGCTGATTCAATATAACAATATTGTTTTGCGTTGCAGGAGCCAGTGGCACATCTTTTGGTTATTAATAACACATGGTGAAAAGTCCAGGAAAAAAATTTTCTTTGTTAATTTTCACGACAGTGGAAAGTGTCTTATCATTTTGAACCACCCTGTAGACCTCTTTATTCGAAAAAATATTTTTTGCCCTATAAACTAATGTGGTTTTAATTGCACCAATAATAATAAGAAATAAAAATAAGGAGAAAAAAGTAATAACACTACCGCCTAAAAATAACGGGATTTGCTTAAAATGCTTAGAATGCAGCTAACAAAGAACAACCAGAAAAAAAATATCAAGCGTATACGAACGAAAAGTTATGATTTACGTAAAGAAAAATTTGATAAAGTAGCTTCTCCTATAAATTTTCGACACCAATGTTGGGACCCAGTAAACAGTCCCTAGTTTCAAGCAGACGACTTCGGCCGAATTACAACATTTTACAGGTACACCCTAGGCTTCTCTGGACACGTATAACAGAAATATGAAACTTCCCGTGACCAGAACAAACATTGCAGTCCCTTTTTGACCTTTTTAGTATTATGTGAAACTTCCCGTTCAGTCGAATTTCATCGGAATGCGATGTAGATGCTTGCTCCCGCTGATGGCGATATGAGCCTCTCAATTGTTCGACGAGTGTATTAAGGAATCACAGATGGCTCACTGGCTTTTCCACACTTCCCTGGATTTGATTGTTTATATTATATACAAGAAAGGAGTTAGATCAACGAAATTTCCATGCCTCAAGAGAAAAGCTTACGCCAGCAATATTTGTGTGTTGTAGAAAACCCAGGTTTTGTCCATTCCATGTCGTCATTAAATCGCATTTTGCATAAAGACTTGAGTCTTAAGGCGTATAAAGTTCAGTTTGCACAGGAACTCAAACCCGGCGACGATCAACAACGCCGAATCTTGACCGACGGTGCTCATTTCCACCTGGATTGCTACGTCAATAAGCAAAAATTTCACATTTGATTTTGTTTTCCATTATTGATGGCATATCTTTATCTTGGGATCATTATAAACATCCCATCATTTATCTAACAAAAGCCACTTTCCCGATATAACACCTCTTATCAGAAAAGGAGTTGAAAAGGAATTAAAATGTAAATCAGCCCTCGTTATAATACTTTTGTACATTTAAATTGGTTTAATTTGGATTGGTTGATTTCAGAGATACGCTAAATAAACATCAAATCGGCCATAGTTATTGTTGGATAGACACTTCTTTTTCAATCAACAGACTAAAGTATAATATCAATTTTGAAGATCGGCCAGAAGCATCGCAAGAGCTACCAATGTATCCAGAAAAAGTCACAGTTTGGTGCGGCTTATGAGCTGTTGGCATCATTGGACCGTACTTCTCCACAGATGATGCGTATCGTAACGTACCGTGAGAGGACATCAAACTTTTTTTTGCCCAAAATGCAAGAGCTTGACATGCATGAAATGTGGTTTCTACGAGACGGTGCCACATGCCACACAGCACGCGCAACAATGGACTTATTGAGAAGCGAGTTCGGTGAACAGTTTATTTCACATTCAGCACCGGTCAATTGGGCGGCTAGATCGTGCGATTTAACGCGTTTAGTTATTTTTCGTGGGGCTTCAATTGATTCATTAGAGGACAACATTGAAGCATTTATTCGTGAGTTATCGGCCGAAATGTTGGCAAGAGTATGCCAAAATTGGACCAAGCGGATGGGCGGAAGGAGCAGTTACGGTCAACATTTGCATGAAACAATCTTCAAACATTAAATTATATGGTCCGTAATATCAATTCTGAATTCTATGTGATTTTGAAAAACTTTCTTAAAGCTCTTAAACAATGAACCCTTACTTCCAAACGTTATCGCTTAAATAGGTCAGTAGTAATTTGAGTAAATGCAAATTTATACTTGTTATTTTTAATAAGTTCATCACTGTTCTTCCCAATCCTCTGAATCCAAAGGCAAAAGTCGGCTGTTTCAGTTGAATGGAAAAAGCGGTGATTGCGATCTGATTAAAGTAATAATATAAAAATTTCGTACTCTACTACGTTTTAAAAAAACTTTGATAGAACTTAAATGTCAAAAATAATGATTACCAAAGTAATTTTAAGTCGGTGTTAAACAAAATCTGCACTATAATAGTTTAAATTTAAAATATATAATATTAAAAATTATTAAGATGCTGCAATTTTTAAAACGTTCAAGGCATTTTGAGGGAAAAATTTTAATTTTTCAATTTTGTGGTCCCCACGAAATTAATTTTTGCAATTAGATTTTCAAAAAAAATCATTGTTTCACGCTACTTTATTATCTGCAGTTCACTGTCTGAAACTACATTTCCAACTGCTCATAAAGCACTAGCAATTCTCTTTTTTTAACAGTGCTACCAAAGGACAGTTTATTGCGAAATAAACTAATTTCTAGATAATTTGGCGTTTGACATAATTGATGTGTCTGACAGCAATAGGGATGGTAAAAATAATTAAGTTAGTAAATATAATCGTGCTTCCCTTTCCGACTAATCAAATGATTAATCTGTTAAGCACAAAAATAAAAAAAATTCAAGTTTAAGCTCTTGCAATATTTTTTTATATATACTGTTGCGAAAATGCGAGGCGAATGTCAGATGAAAGAGAGAAGCCGATAACTAGTACGTTCTAGAAACGATAAAACAAGAACCTTCCATAGCGAACAATTCGATGCTTCTACGCTTTCGTCTGCGAGCAGCCGACTGCTATATAAAGGCGACACTCAGCTGCAAGTCAAGTTAGTGATAAAGTAAACTCGTTGGCGTTAACATCAGTAAAGTCGTAAAGTAAACACGTTGGAGAGTACATTTAAGTAGAGTGAATTGTGCAAGTTGATGATAGTGATTGTAAATAGTAGAGTGTATTGTAATTGTATTGTGAATTACGGAGTAAATAAAAGACATTAGATAAAATCTTTATAACGAAAGAAACTGCAAATTGAATTGGCGAGTTTTTATTTAACAATCCAGAGATCGTACCCGAAGGATCTAGAAAATAATCGAGGGGATTTAGTAAAATCGTAACAATACATACTAAATTTTGTACCAATTAGATAGCTCTGCTAGTGAGATCAGATTTTTGAATTTAAATAGAAGGGTTATTTCATTCACAGGCATTGGTACAGCTTACGCGTTTTGTTTGGTGCTAGTTGAAAATACCAAGTGAAACCAGGTCGCCCTTCAACTGATCCCTCAAACGGAGATGAGGTCTTCCTCTTCCTCAGCTTCCACTGCAGCGAATGCCTTCAACAATGATGTTGTACACTCTTATAAAAGATTGTGCCTTGTCTATCTAGCTTTGCAGCTCTTATTATTTTATCCAGCATCAAATTGAAGAAATCTCACGATATGGAGTCACTCTGTCTGAAATCTCGCTTGGACCGAAAATTGTTATTAGTTTTATGAAATGTAAAGTACGCGTTAAACAGCGATTGAAGACACTTACAGCGGTTTTTGAGAAATAGAATAGCAAATATACATATATGTATATACAATATGTATACCTAGACCGCACTTTAATACCTAAATCAATTTCATGCAAAAAATTTCCTTCTATTCGGCATAACTTTTTATGGGACCAACTTCAGGTTATACCTTTTCCAGTAAACTAAAATCAGTGACATCGGAAGATTCAGTTAGAAGATATGACTAAGAATTTAAATTTTCGTCGCGTAAAAGTAAAAGCTTCTGTAAAGTGTTTTTAAAATTTTGTGTATTCATATGAACTTGGTAATTTTTTTTAAGTTTGGATATTGTTAACATTACCTGAATATTGTCGCATTCACTCCACGTTTTTAAACGCGGCTCGAATTTTTTTTCCTTTTCGACTGTGCTGGGTGGTGGCTTACTGTTAGTACCTGTGTCTTGAGATGATATCCAGATTAGATTACCCTTTGTCTGTTTTACAAGAATCATTGCGTGCTTGCCATGTGGTACTTCATGCTGTAAAGAAAAATATGAAAAATCGAAAGTGACGCTAGTCATGAATTGAAGGAACGTGTGGTGGATTCCTTGAAAGTTGTAGTCAAAAATAATATTTCATTGTGTCAATGTGTGGGCTGAACACTAATCTCGTGTTCTTAGATGTTTAATTATGATAATTATGATCCGTCCTATCTTGGTAGTTCCGTCAAACAATTAATACATTGAATTACTGTGTACCTGTATCTCAAAACTGATTGCATTCAAACTAAATGACTAAATCAACTGAAGTCGTAATTCTGATCATATTAGTATAATTGGAAGAAGAAATCCTTTACCTGCAATTTCGGACCGAAGTCATTTATAATTCTCGCAAGGAATCAAAGAAAGTAAAGAAATAATAAAGACAGCTATCATACAATATATGGAACTTTCGGATTCATTTATCTACGCCTCCCTAATCCTCACCATCAAATGGCTCATCTTCTCCCGAAAGTAGAAATACCAGAATGCTTGAAATAGATGACCGTCTAATCTAAATGAAGAGCGACCGCAATTATAAAATTTTACTTATTTAAATTTATTTTCTACAAATCATGGATTTTAACGTTTGTCGGACCTGGACTAGAGTCCATTTGCCTTCTGGATAGCAGTAAGTAGTGCTAATCACTGTATGTGTACCCGATTATTCAGGTTTGAAATTTTTGGTTATAAGTCCGGCATTTAAGAAAGAAATTTCGTATTCCACAAACTGTAAATCGTCGAAGCCAGACGATTATCGACTATATGTCATAACCCCCTTACAACCGATATTTCGCATGTGTGAATATTATTTAAACTTCGGCATGGTCGAAGATAACATTTCTTTCTTGTTTTTGTTTTTTTCTTAAATCCTTATATACCTCATTGACGAAATAATGGTTGAGTGTCATTGCTGAAATTAGGACCTAATATGAATTTAGTCATGAAAGGTGTAATTTCTTCTTGACAACTAAAAGAGGCGTTTTCATTCAAACAAGAAAGACCATAGATGATTCTTTTAAGCCATAGATTAATGAAGGCTTTAAAGAAACTAAAACTAAACATTTTTATTAAATGCAAAAGATCGTGTAGTTAAAAAAAACTTTTCATTCTAAAGGTTATAAATAAGTAGATATCTAGATAAATGTTTCTTCGGAAAATATAACATTTATTTTTAAATTTTAAGTTAAAAGTTATTGTCCTTTAATTAAATAACGATTTCTGTTTAAATGCTTATCAATGTAATAAGACTTTAATAGTTAATTTGTTAAAAAGCAAGGACAAAACCAAGTCAAATTCACACAAAGTAATACCAATAATACCAAAAATATGCATGCATTTTGTTCGTGCAATCATATAATCGAAATGTCAAAGACGAAATTCGCTCAAGATATTTTGCTTGTGTAATTTGATAAAATGGAATGAATAACAAGCATTCATATGATGTAACAACTTCATCTTCTTTCTATAAGTTCGCCTTGGACAAAACAACAAGAAACAAAAAAAAGAACTTTTGTTTTTTGAAACTGTCAATAAACTCTTTACACATTCTGTTTTCCTTAATTCTAAGAAAAGTGGTACTTAAGTGTTATTGCCGTTTCCCTTTTAAGTTGGTTTCTTAGTGAGCATCTAAAAAGTGATTTGGTTTAATTAAAAAACAGCCATAGTTTAAGTTTCGACGTGTGATTGATTTTCAATAATAACAGTTGACCAAATCCGTAACACAATTAATTGAGATGTTTTCTGTAGAAAGGAAAATTATTAAGAATATGCTAAATTGGTCAAAAAACGAAGGCAGGCTTGATTGTGTCATAGGAAACAGCTCTGATGTCCCATTCTACGGCACAGTTACTTTTAAGAGGTACGCAGGAAAACCTCTGCATCGCGATAATGTAGAAAAGCGCCATGAATGCGGTATATCATCTTCAAATGTATAAAACGAAATTGAATACAAATGTAGTGAAATTTGGCTTCTTTGACATCATTGGAATTTAAAATTGTATAAAGCCAAAACATGAAGATATTAATCTATGGTGTTAATTTATTTATACATTAACTACAGTCGTGAGATTCCACCTTTAATGATCACCTAAAATGACTTTTAAATTAACTTGTGAGAAAAGCTTCTTGGCAGTGTTAAAAATTCATAATTTACATTTATAAATGTTAGTTTTCTCGTAATCAATTTATATATTTCTTATTGTTTTTTTTTTCAAATTAACTGAATTAATTGAAATACTCTTATTTTAGTATTCGAAGCAAAAAATATATTCCTTGTCCGAAGTGTTTCTTGCCAAATCGAGTTTTATTTGCACAATGTACACCAAATACACGTCTCTAAGTATAAAACAGCCGCAGTATAAGCTTACCTGTCGCACGGCATAGTAGCAAGTAAGATTGCGCGGGTAAATGCCAGGAAAGTTGGGCGATTGCAAGCGGCAGGCCTTCCTGTCACAGTCGCTGAATATGCGGGAACAATAAGTGCCCGGTATGAGATCGCCTAAAAAAAAAAGTTTTCAACTCGAACAATAACTAATTAAAATACCAAGTTAAGTTCAATGCATTGCTTTTCTTCTCAATTTTTAAAAGTTGTCTTGAAAATAAAAACAAACTCCACTCACCTAAATAATATTTTGGCTCAGTATAGTTTTGAACATTCCTTTCGACTGCTGGCGTCAATGAATCCATAAATGTTTTGTTATTGGTATACGCGCTGAATAAGCTGAAATCTTGGCCATAACGGTCAGAATGTGCCCCACTGGAATTAGTAAAGTCTTCGATCGCATATTGACTTTGAAAACTGCTGCGATTGTGCCATTGGCGAAGTTCTGGAATGAGAATGGTGTAAGTTTTAGATTATGCACACGAGTAACAGCAACAACACATGTACGGGTGAATGTTGAGATTATATAAGGTTTTGTATAGGGTTATCCTTTTCGTGGTTTTAAAAGTACAGGGCTGTATTTTGATATCTTTCAAACCAAACATATAATTAATAGTCAGGCATTTATGAAATAAAATCGTTTAACAAGCGATAGTGCGTTGAAAATGTTAAAACCTGCAAAGCGTTGATTAAAACGAGACCACATTTCGTGCTTTAAAGTATATTATGAGGCACATAATCGACCAACTATTTAGGCAATTGATATGATTTTAAAGGAATTTTATTATACTGGATCGGTAATAGATATAGTAAGATCTATGAATGATAGTTTTGCTCGTCCCTTCTCAAATATTAGTACTGTATGTGAAAGTGCACCGAATGTGCATATTTCTCGACGTTCTCAAGAACTGGGTCCTTCTTACCTAACATTATGGCGTATTTTGCACTTGGACTTACACCTACATCTATGTTAGGCTCAGCTCACACAACAACTAAAGACAGCTGATCGTTCACAACGACTTAAAACCTCAAATAATTGAAAAGAGACCATTAAGTTCAATAAAAAACTTGCTGTCTGATGCCCATTTTGCTCGGAAGGAAGAAGGTTCCTTACTTCCTCGAAAACTACAATGGCGAGAATCTCATTGTCACTTCGGAGCGTTATGATGGTATGATAACAGTGTTTTGGCCCACAATGAAGAACACAACTTGGACATTGTGTAGTTTTAACAAGATGGCACCACACGCGAGGGAAATTTCTCACTCGCTAATCTCTCATTCGACCATCGAGGTCGTGCAAAATGACTGCGTTGGACCTTTTTTTGTGAAGCTACTAGATAGACCATGCTCATGCGGATAAACCTTTAACTATTGAGCACTTGAAAACCAACATTCATCAAACTATGGCTGAGATACCGCCCAATATGGGCCACAAAGTGGTCGCATTAGTAAACGAATCAAAGTCTACAAAAATTCATGACAAAATGATTTTAAATGCATTTTATTTACGTTTATTTTTAAAATCCTGTATACATGCATACATAAATGTATTTCATTTAGAGTTCATTGTGCACACATGTGTCTCCACGAAAAATTGTCCATTGTAACGAGAAAGTCTTTACTTTTTTTAAGTTTTGTAGTGTTTATCGTCTTTTGCCGTGTAATACCGCGTATAATTATATATTGTAGAAGGTAAAAAAAACCACTTCATATAAATAAATTATAACTTTATATTAAATTAATTTAATTAGTAAAAAAGGAATTATAAGTTCTTACAGGTAGTTTTTATTTTTTTTTTAATAGCCTTAGAAAGATAATGTTGAATAAATAACACATTTTGGTTTTTGTTTTGTATGTAAATTTAAAACCGCATTATTACATTTCCCTATTCCAAAAAAGGACGTGTATTGACTTTGGTCCCCCACAATAGGTATCATATTTTATGGTTAGAAATATTTCCTGTTCTTTCTTAGACCAAGAGAAGTATCCTTAATATTTTTGGGTTTAAATAGTGATTAAAAAAACAGAATCAAAACAATATGATTTTTTTACAGTGTATAAGCACTTATTTCATAAACTCTGTATGGATGGAGTTAAATATAATTGCAGCAGTTCACGATTTCATGAACGGTAATGAAACTTAATTTTGTTAGTTTTTTTTTGTAAAAATGTCAAAGTTTTAGCATAAACACATCAGATTTAACAAATCTCAAATTTTGACCTCTTCGCGTATATGAGTACGTAGTATTGCACGCCAAGCGACATTAGGTCTTTCTTCCAAATATGAGCGATCTGCAATCAATGGTAAGTATATAAATGAAAACTGAAAGACTTTTCATGTACTCACGTACACCCAATCTTTTACACATAAATGCTTTTCAAGTTTCAATAGAAAATGAATACTTTCGGAACTGTTTACATATGTAAACATATGTGTTTACGCATGGGTGTGTCCTTTGGGTGAATATACATACATACATATTAGACTCTTACTTGAGCAGTTTTATTCAAATTTGTTGCCTTAATAGAGGCGGGTATACACACAAATAGTTATATGAGTTAATATATATATATATATAGTTGTATTGTTGTTCCCTTTCAATGTGCTTAATATTCAAATACAGTCCTTTGAACCACATACTTGGTGCCATCTGTTCTTCTCTGTAAGCAAATAATCTTTCGCAAAATGCGTAGGAATTTACTAGTCCTCGCTATGAGTTTTTAGCAGAGTATTTTCTGCAAAATCAGCGCATATCCTTTATTACCTCCACACTTATTTTCTTTAGTTTTTTTTATATCCCTGGATTAACCAACTCCCTCCCTCTGTCCTATTTTAAGACGCTGAACTCAAATTATTTCTTTTACATGTTAGGTCTCTTATTTTTAATGAAATTCATATTTTTACTTTTTCTTATAAAATACTCTTTTTTCGCAGTAAAAAATGTTTACATAATTCTCATGTAATTTTTGAAATTGATCATTTTTGTTGCATCAAGAAGAGCATTAGGTTTCGCTTATATATACCATAGAAGAAAATAGTTACCAATTTCAAAATACATAAAACACTGGGAACTTGTTTGTACGATTTGCCGCGAAAGCGTGTTCGATCCTGTTATACTAAGCACAAGTTCGAACGCCAAATTCATTTGCCTTCGGATGATGTAGAGGAAATAACTGATATAGAAGAAGGTCCTGACCATGATAAGTGAGAATTGTCAGTATCAGATGTAGCTGGTCAAGTGGAATTTTCGTATGCAATTGATAACATCAAGGAAGATCATTCTCTTCAAACCACATCTCGGACAAGCAAGACAGTCACTTGGCGTAAGTGGAAACCAGTAAATTTTGAAATACAGCCGGAATACAATAGCGCTAAACAATGTTTGGAAATATGATTACGCAGTTGGAAGCAAAATTAGCGGTAGAAATGTTGAAAATCTTATTGTCTGACGAGATTCTTAATTATATTGTAACCGTAACAGACGCCACATATTATAAAAATGATTTCAACTTCAATCTACTCGTAGCTACAAATGAGTTCAAGGTGTTTATAGGAATGTTTGTTTTTCTCTTCGTCTCATCACTTTCCTCAATCTAATCTTTATTGGTGTAGAGATGATAAAGTAAATATTCTATTAATTGAACGAGCAATGTCTCGCAATCGTTTTAGATAAAATTTAATCCTATTTACATATTAATGACAACTCAAGAATTGCTAAAACTGACAAAGCTTCCAAAATTGCCTTTTTATCGAAAAAGCTAAGGAATTATTCCGAAAGCTTGGAACAATTGAATCCAATAAAGCTTTTGATGAAATGATCGTCAAATACTTTGGTCACTACAGGATCAAACAATTTACAAAAGGTAAACCGGTGAGTTATGGATACAAGCTTTGGCAACTGTGTGGAGTTAGCACATATTGTTATAATTTTTCGCTCTATACAGGCAAGGAGGCCCAAATCATTGCTAATACTGTCGATAGCTTTGGTTCATCAATGGTAAAAAAATCGCTTGTGAAATGTGCCGATTCCAGAGTAGATGTAGTCTACACCGATAACTTTTTCAGCAGAATGCAATTGTTGATTGATTATTGATATTATGGTTATTCTGATCATCGTTCTGAGAAAAATAATAATATTGTAAACACTGGTAGGCATTCGATGAAAATAAATCCACAGTGGCCGTGAATCAGTCAAGGCTTAATAATAATAAAACACGGGAGTAGTGGATAAACATGATTTGCTGATTTCTAAATATCCGCTTCTAATATCCGATTTAGAGGTAAAAAAGGTATTGGCTTTAGCTATCCGTGTTTTTGATATGTCCCTAATGAGGACGTGGTTTATTTACAGCCAGTTAAATAAAGATGAAACCATCTCTCTGCTAGATTTCAGACTAAGGGTTTGTTTTTCTTGGATAAAAAAATCATAAGGCAAGGCAAACTTTGCGGTTACAGTTTTCAAATAAACACGATTTATAATTGTTAACTTTAATTATTTGTAGTCACATGACTTCATTGTCATATTTATAGAACTTGTTTCAATTTAAATCACTCGGTCGGTAACTTTTGGATTTTTTCAAACGGATATGAGATTTTTATATATAAGAAGCAGATTAATTGTCTAATTTTTAATAGTTTGTCGTACCAGGATTTGAACTCTGGCTATTCGAATGGCAGTACGCAATACTAACCACTAGGTTGGATATTGTTTCTATAGAAAGGGACTTGCACGGCAATCTATCTTCCAGTATCTCAAGATGATGGCAAAAGGAACCATTAGTTCGATAGGTTTTGTAATTACTACATTATTTAGGATTCTGTAATTATCAATACGAGAACTAGTGCGATCGGTTACAATGGCCTCATAATGAATGATTTAGAGTTTAAGAACTGGAATTTTTCATTAGCTATGTATACAGATATAAAATCGATTTACCAAAAATTAAATTTTTTTTGTCAGCCGCGAAAAATTCATAGCACAAGACGTTTATAAAATGCACTTTAGTAGGTACAGCTGGAGTCGACGTATAATCATTACCAATGGCTTATAATAAATCTTTGTCTCAGTATTTATTTTGCACTATTTTCATGTCATTACCCCCAGTCGTTCGTTTATTCATGTTCAAAATGGAAGAACCAAAAATTTTGATTACCCAAATGTTCTGGGTTAAGTTTGCAAGAGGCTAGTAATTGATAAAATATTTTTTGATGTCCACGTCCATGAGTGATTTTGCGCTGGATTTCAAGGCTGAAATTATTAAAGATGTTGAGGCTGGTTCCTAGATAGACGAAATTTTCTACGACTTCAAAGTTATGACTGTCAATAGTGACGGATTCATTCCAAGATTTGGCGCATGGTAAATATCTGGTCAATGGTTGACTTACCAGATCTGAAGTCAAACTAATAAGGTCCAATCAGTTTGTTGACGGTGGGATTCACTATTTAACACAATACGCTCGACAGGACCTTATAGGCGTTATTAAGGCGCAGACTATGGGATCCCCTTTTTTTATGAATAGAGCAGAGCCTACTTAAATTCCACCTCAGCTCTTCACTGCCATGATTGAATAGCCTCTGCCGGTAAGTCGTCAGCTCCAGCCGCTTTGTTGTTTTTTAAGCGGATGATTGCTAGTCGAACTTCTTCGTGGTCTGGTGATGGATTCATCGATTGAAGTTTTGGGTTCACAGCCTCCGTGGCTAGATTACCCTTTTTGTGTCCTACTGCTTGAAACCTTCCGTAAGTCGTCGTATCTTCTCATAAAATTTTCGAGCATTACCCTTGTCGGTCAGCCTCTTAAGCTCTTCATACTTATGCGTCTTGCTTCTCTCTTCAGCTCTCCGTTTCTCTCCACTGCGGAACGGCAGTCTCCATCTCATCAGCTGTTTTTGCGACTTTCGCGAATTTCAATAGATTCGTTGGCAGCTGTACGTAAAGAGCCTTAAATGCCTTCCCTCAAGTTTCGTATAACGAGTTGCTGCACTCCGAGAGCAGAAGTGCAAGTTGAGTAGAAAATCGTTCAGCAATCTGTTGTGATTGTAACATTTCGACGTCGAGCTTTCCTTTTGCTTGTTGACGCAAGGCCGCATGCGTATCTTCACGGCAACAAGATAGTGGTCCGAGTCGATGTTGGGTCTTCTAAGTGTACGCTAAGAACGCTAGAAATATGTTTTCCGTCTATCACAATATGATCGAGTTGTTTTGTGTTTTTCGATTAGGCGACAGCTAGAATCTAGCTCTACAGACAACTATATTTCGGGTCCCGGCGAAGTCGATCAGCCTCAAATCATTAGGGGATGTTTCGTTGTGAAGACTGAATTTTTCAACAGTCGTACCAAAGATACCTTCTTTGCCTACCCTGACATTAAAATCGCCAAGCAGGATTTCCACATCATGGCGGGGGCAGCGCTCGTTAGTTCGCTCTAGATCTCATAAAAGACATCTTTGGCCAAATCCTCCTTTTCTTCCGTCGGGGCGTGGGCGCAAATCTACTATATGTTTAAAAAGTTAATTTTAATGCGAATTGTGGCGAGACGCTCATCAACCGCGATGAATGCCAGTACTCGCCGACGGAGTCTCTCTCCGACCACAAATCCAAGACCAATTTTGCGTTCCTTTATATGACCACTGTGATAAATGCAACAAGAACCATCGGTTCTTTGGCGGCGGTGATGCCAGCCTTTGACCTTATGAGGATATCAACAAGCTGGGCAGCGGCACCTTCGCAATTAAGGCACTGGACATTCCAGGCGCATGCCCTCAATTCGTAATCCTTAGAAATTTTTTCATTGGAGCTGGTTTCTACTTAGCGGGTGCCAAACCCAGCGCACAATCTCGCTAGGCGAGTAAGTTTAAAGTTTGTACACATTAATGAAGCGAACCGCTTGTTTCAAGACCGACGCCCGCTCGCAGCAGCACCTCTGGTGAACAGACGCTGCAATTAGACTTCAGCAGACTCTTAAACCGAATAAGTCGGAGTGGCTCCACTGAAGCTTCGTCTCTCATTAGCCGTAATCGTAGGCTCTATACGGGTTGGTTACCGCAGCTTACACAAGGGTTGCTCACGTTTCCAGGGTGCGCGACGTAGACACAAGAGTAGGAATGGAGTATAGTCTCGAATTTGTAACAGCATACGCAGAAGCTTGACTTCACCCCATTACACCCCACCCCACATGAACAACCTTGGTGCCATGATAAACATCATAATAAAAAAAATTCATTTGCTAACATTCGTTGCAGCTGCTCAACGTCAGACAAATTATGAAATGTCAAGCAAAACACTTTTCTAAATGAAAGAAAATATTCGAATAGAGTTTTATTAAACCAAAACAAAAATTAATAGTAGAAACCTCAAAAACAGTTTACCAAAATACATGTAAGGGTTGAGCCTGAAAACTTGTTTATACATTTTTCAGCCAATGGACGCTTGAAAGTAAACAGGATTTCTAGGAATCAGAGCACTCGCCAGTTAAGTTAGGAGCCGCGTGTTCCATTCCTGAGAAGATGAGGTGATCTCCGAAACAATTGTCACTGCTACCATTCACCGTTTTACTATTTTTAAATTACTTCTAAGATATGATTGTCAGCAGTGAAGTTGAAGTCAAGACATCTACTGTTTGGTTGATGTTGGCTTCCTTTTCCACTTCATTTTATTAAATAAATTGGTTTGCTATAATTTTAGATGTTGGTCCTATACTATAATTAAAAATTGTCGTTTGCAGAGAAAGGTTCGATACCAACAATGGTGAAACTAAAATTACTTACTACGATTATTTGTTTTCGTTGTAAATTTATCACTCTAGTAAATTATACAAAATATTTCGAATATTATTAGTAAACCTTTGTAAATGAAATATATTTCTCCAGTACCTATATAAGCTAAAACATCGCATTAATGAGAAGCCTCTATGGGAAACTGTCTCACTGTATATGCACATATTTACATGTGGATGCATAAATACATATAAATATATGACATAGATTATGCCTCAGCATTGCTTTACAGAAAAACCATGACAATTTACACGAAAAAGTTGGTCGTTCTAGTTATCAGCTATTTCCCTTTTTTGCTTTTCAGTTTCCTAATGTGTATTAAAAGTTGCTCATTTAAAAAAAGTTCACTAATTTACAGCCTTGCCAGTTAGTTACGTATGTGAATATATGTACACTTATGTACGGATATAAAATATGCAAATATTATTTAACTCAAAAAAGTAGTTTTGTGTGAAATAATTTTTCACAAGAAAATAAATGGATGATGCTGAAATCTGAAGGAGATGTAAGGTATGGCCAAAAATTTATTAATTCTGTTAAGATTTTATTTACCTTCAAGTTTGATGCCACCATAGCGGGTAACCGAACTGTCCTTCGTTAGAACTTTGTACCTGATTCGAAAGTCGAAATTGTAGCCGCTCTGATCCCGCGCCAGCCTGCGACATGCGCCGTAGTAGTTTACGTATGCATGCATGCAGTTAAAGTATTAATTGATACATTGGCATTACCCAAGCAAAAGCAGCAGATACGGAAATTAGAAATAGAAAATAACACAAATTGATTAGATTTCAAACAAAAAATATTCACGAGCGAATCAACTAACATTATTAAATTTTTATCAAAGTAGAAACAAATTTTATTTTTCGAATTTTTGGTTAAATATTTTTAACAATTTATATTGCATCGGCTACATTTCCTAAGCTTCCTTGCACAGACCTTCCGATATTTGTAGAGAGGGCTTATCTCTAGTTCTACCAATACCAGTTTCTTATCAATTGTTTTATTTGGAAGAACCTACAGTTTCAATAGCCTTCTCAGATGTACCAGAACTCCTCGCAGAGCTATGGACTCGGACTAAAACAATGTAAAAACAACATAGATTTTAAAAATTAAAATCAGACTCCAAATATTAGCATACAATTTTTATTTAGTTAGTTGAACAGGTTGCTCGATCAAGAAAACCGAGCCCAACCAAGCTCTATTAGGCCTACTGACCAATAACCCGTTGTAAAACTTATGTTGGTCCTGCTAAGCAAATTAATCTCACGTTTCTAAATGCTCAAACTTATGGGTGTGTCTTTTGAAGTTCAGTAGATTTTTGATACCAATGGGTACCGGTATGTTTGATGAGGACTCAATCATTACTCCCTATTAGCCAGTTCCTCATAAGTTCGAGTGACAAGAGTAACTCTAAAAATGTTAACCACTGATGGGTGCCAATAAATATCTTCTACCGTTCTCTTAGCATTGGATGAGTTTTCTAATCGAAATTTTCTTTATAAAAGAAAGTTGTGGTCAACGAAAACTTCGCTAAGAATTGAGAAATAGGAATAATATTTACAATTTCTTCTAGTTTTTGATAACGGCCTTCGAATTAATTCTTAATCCTTCATCTTCCTTATCACAGCCAAAAACTAATGTCAATAGAGCTACTTAGAGCTATTCCTTTGGGATTCCCCTATGCTAGAATCATATATTGACATGAAATCTGAACTAAGTGAGCGAAGTGGTAAAGGAAATTTTTGTATATTAATTTCTTCAGCATTTGTGAGTTCAACTTCGTTTGAGAGTGTTTTAATTACTGTATTACTAGCAATAAATTATATTAAAAAAGAATAAATGAACACGAATTGTTAAAAAAGTCACTTACTTATTCAATTTAATTGTAAAAATTAATGATCTAGTTTCACTGTAAAACAGAACTGGTCCCCATGAGCTGCCACACCACATGCCACCGATGGGTGTACGGGCTGATTCGGCGATCTGCATATATCCATCTGGGCATCCGTCATGCATGTAGGAAGTGAATCTTCCAATTGTAAAGCTGTCAAGTGTTACCTGAAAAAGGTGAGAGGAAAGATAAAACGAAATTTAAGGCAGAGCAATAAGAACTATGTATGTATGTATATAATCATTTAAGTATTAATATATTATATAAGAAAGACAATTCTTAGCTCACAGCTAGTTAATTTTTCGGGTTCAGGAATAAAATCAGTAATGCATTTCAATATATCACAAATAATTTCATATAATTTTCTAACCTTGTACTCAAGGCATAAATTTCATAAATAACATCTACTGTAGTTACCGTATATAAGTTTGCAACTCTCTCGGCCTAAGAAGAGCAAGTGACTGGGTATTTATTTACAATTAAAAAATAGTCGATGGCAATTTTGTAAATTAATATTCAGAAAAGCAATAACAGCGAATACAACAAGTGGAAAATAAGCTTTCTGCTCAAGTAGTGCTTTTCCTTTCCATTTCATGGAGCAAATTAACGAAATTCAGCCATTCTAATTAAGGATATCAAGCATAAGCGTAAGTCCATCAGAAATCGAAATTTTTTTAAGGCAAAAATAGCGGTGATATAAGTTATTGGAACGTTAACGGCTTGTTTCAACATAAAAATTGTTATTTTTTTAATATCAAGCAACAGACATAATATATATATATATAATATATAATTGGCGCTTTGTAACCGCTGAAGAGATTTTCGGCCGAGCTCCTCCTCGAATTTGTGGTTTTGCGTCTAGATGTTTCCCCCACAAATGGGGGGCCTACAGTTTATACTAAGCCGCCTCCGAACGGCTGATGCGTTTCTTATGAGGAGCTTTATTTCATGTCAGAAATACACTGATAGGGGTTGACATTCCCTGCCGAGGGGCAACCAAAATTAGAAAATTTAATTTAATTTTTTATTTAAATTTATTTTCCATAACTTTTGGATATTGAGATATGAATCCGAGCCTTCCGAATCACAGTACGCAATGCCAACCACTCGGCTACCACGGCCGCGATATAATACTACAATAATATGAAACTCATTTGAGCAAATTTAACAACTTCAATGGTGATTAATTTCTATTTTATGAGTGCTTATCAGGAAGACATGAAAGAGCATTAATGGAAGAGTATTGCAAAGACTATCTTCACTCCACTTCAGTTCATATGTGTGGAAGCTCTGTTGGCGTAAACATTTTCGCAATATGCTGACCCCACGTTACAATATATCATATCTAAAACTTAATTCGGTGATTTCTTTTATAAACTGGGTAAAATGTTTCTAGCAACAGGTGCTTACACTGCGAACCATTTTCTCTGGGGATCTAGTCTAATATCTCAAAGCGACATACTATTTATATCTACCAGACAACATACTATCCAACTCATATCAGTAAAACCCCATATAAGATTGACTTCGGAATAACTTGCCGGAGCAATAGAGCACAAGATAGCCTATAGGAGTGAATAGAAAAGATGACTAGTATGAGGTTATTCTTAATCAATATCGACTGGTTCATTAATGAATGGAGCGTAGTTGACCGAGTTTGCTCTAACTTTAAATTTACCAACTGAGTATTGGAATTATTGATATGTCCACTTATTCCTAATTACGATTAAGAATATTAGAATATTTGTGATGATGATTGTGAAGAAAGTGAAAATTTGTTTCATCACAAAAAACTTTCTAAAATTTTGTTTATATTGGTGATATAATTTCTTTTTTACTGTTAAAATGTTTAGCATAGTTTCAATTTTATTATTAAAATAAAATAAAATATAAACCAGTCGCCACAATGAACGGTTAAGCTAAATTTAAAAAAATCTAATAACTTCGTTTGTAAACGATATATTTTTCTGAAATTTTGTATACATACTTTTGGGAATCAATGTACCGATTTTCAACTTCCTACCTCCATCCGTTTCATTTATAACAACTTTTAGGTCATCATGCCCCACTTTGTGAAAAAGCGCACGATTTCTCATAATATATTTTAAATAGTAGCAAAAAGTTTTGAATTTCATTGAAAACATTTGACAGGCAACACATATTCTTTGCATTGGCTGGTTGAGTTTGTTTACATATAATATTTTCTGATTATTTAAATATTTATTTATTTGCACACATTTTCTTTATATTTGGTATTTTTTTGGTAAGTTTATATTAATGTGCATATAATATACGAATAATTGTTAATGGCATGTGAACTTGTGGAAGCTTTTGTATTTCAGATATATGCAAGGCGTGACGAAATTTATGCAACTTCTTTCTGCCTTGGCAATATGCAATAGGTCCTTCCTGCAAGGCAGCTGCATATCTATGTGGTTGCGAATCGCGTACGTTTGAACGTGGAATGTTAGCATATGAAGGAGTGGCGATGACAACCAAAATAGATGTGCAGCAAAGAAGCTGCATTGAGGAATATACAATACCAAGAACCACAACCTTGCTGTAAATATGATAACTTATTATCAAATGGTAACGGATGTACTTAAATTTTTAGAGAGATATAAAAAGATTAAAAGATAAAAAGGGCATAAATATGTTCTTCAATTGGGTGCTAGTTCAGTTTACTAATGTTTTCTTAGTGGAACTACCAACAGGTCTTAAGTAAAAATTCGGTTATATAGGACATTGCTACAGACAACCATAACAAGATTTTATAAATTTTTAATGAATAGAAAGTCGATCAGTAAAGGGAGTTTCCTTCCTTAAAGCTAAAGGTGAAAAACAAAATAGTAGCGAAACGGGTTTAAGCAAATCTGACGACTGAAGTAATTAACAGTCAACTGTTACTTTAAGTTTCTACATATAATCAACTAACCAAAATTAACTAATGAATAACTAATCAAATGCAAATCTTCCTTCAAGCGAGCCAGTTTCCTCTGCTTCCCAGTGTAGCGGATGCCTATTAATTCGTAACAAAGAGTGAAATGGAGTTATCTGTGAAATAATTACCATTACTGTTATCATTATAAGTCATTAAATATGGATCAAAATCCAACAATAATGTTTTTGTTTCTATATAATTTGTTTCATAGGTAATAATTATTTTTCGTGTTTTACTTAAACTACATTTTTTAGACCTATTCAGAGTTAAGAGCCGAAGAATAAATAGAAAAAGCTCCCATATCGCATCTATGGATATTAAATTTATATTATCAATAAGAGGTACACATTTTAGTTTTTAATATTTTGTTATCACCTTTTAACTATGCTTTTGGGAAAAGCTTTCTGACTTCTCTTAAATATTCCAACCATGCATACAGTTAGTTTTATTTAAAAAAATCCATTTGATCTATACGTTTATAGTGTTAGTCTAAAATATATGATATGTAATAATAATAATTAAATAAAATACTAATCTTCCTACTTTTTCCCATTTAGCTATAAATTAGCTGCCGTTTTGCAAATCGGAAAATATTTTATCCCTCTTTCTATTACTTTCGAAAATGCACAAGTTTGTAAAGGAGTGTCGAAATTCCCGTTTCATTACTTTGCCTTTAATGATTGAACATGGGAAAAAATTCTACAGGCTAGTTTCACTTCACAATGTTTGGCACTAAACGTGTTTGCTCGGAAATGTTTCATCTTACCTCTTATCAAATTTTAACTTTGAGATTTTTTAATTATTTTTTATCTTCTAAACATATGGATCAATTAAAATATTTGTTTCAATCTGTTTTTATTAGGCGGCAGAAGTAAGAAAAGGATTTTCTAGATAGGTAAATAAAATGGAAAGAGTTGACATGTTTTACTTTTTTTCGAAGCTTAGGCTTATAGGTTTTCTCAGCTGTATATGAAACGTTCGTGTTTTGGGACCCTGGTAATGGGGACACCGAGCAAACTGCGGAGTCAATAAGCTGGCCGGATTGGTTTAATCATAACGGCGATAAATTTTAAGGTCCGTTATCGATTTCTCGAAAATTTTTTCTTCGTTTGCCAAGCACAGCTTGCATCTCTAGGAATCATTAATCTCCCGAACTTCGTAAAATAACCAAGTGGTGTGAGCATCTGGAAAGGTAAGAGGAATCTTGTTCACAGAACCAACATAAGTATCATCAACGATCAGGGTTCCGTGATCGAACAAGTCGTTTAACTAATTAACGACTAATATTATATTTAGCGGTTAAGATTGAAATCAAAAGTGTTTGGAAGATTAATCGACTTTTAGAGAGAGAATGAAACAACTATCTAGAATTTTTCTATCACACTTTAAATTATTGTATCATGGGTAAAACAATAATGCAAGAATAGAAATTTAAAATTATTATGCCTTCTTATGTCTCTCTTGAAACAATCATGGTCTCCATAAATACAAATTTATTTCAATTTCTTTTCAATTATAGTGCGGGTATTTTTAGGTACACAAATTAATGAGTTTTGGAGTGTACTTTTTTGTTTATTTGCATTTTCAAGCATACCACCGTTTACACTGTCCTCTATATTTTAAATTGCTTGAACGATATATAGAAGCTTCTTTTCAGCACTCAGTCTAATAACCTTATTTTGAAGCACTGAAATCCTTTTTTTTTAATAAAGGAAAACTGATTTTTAGTTTTTATCACTAAATCTTTGAATCAAAAGTTTTGGAAAGTTTGGATTTTTGAGAACACTGTTCAACATGTTTTGCTAACGATCTTGTTGATGATTTATGTAGGTACAAACGTTTGCAGTCACATTTCGCAAACAGGCTCTGTGCCCCCTCTTCTTGCACGAGGGGTTTTGGCGATGGTGATTCTATTACAATTACCGTTGCCTTCGGTTTCATCGCTTTGACAATAAGGTCATTTAGTTTTATTTGAATATCTCGGAATTTCTTTGCTGCTGAATCTTGCAGTAATAGCATATCCGCCCTGTCGACTTTGGTGTCCATTATATCTTGCAGATTTTCCATGACTTTAATGAAATCAGCACGGTAAGCGTTCAAATGATTCTCAACATTATCAAAAGATTTTATAATATATTCATTCCAGGACATCTTTTTTAAATGTTCTTCCATTAGTCCAGACCAACTAATGAATTCAGCTTCAAAATTATCCAGCTTTTTAGACATCGCTTGAAATCGGCTATAAATTGGCGGAAGAATTTGTTTTAAAATTGTATGCTTGAAATCCGAGTTACCAATGATATCACATATTTGTTTTATATCTGGGTCGCAGGTGGTGCAAATGTGTTCTCCCGTCATACGCACTTCTTCTAGATGCTCGTTAATTTTATCTTCTAAAGAGTCAATTGTACTCTCTAATTGTTCCAAATTATCGAATTGATCTGCAGGCTCCATTTTCTCACTGTTAAATGGCAGAGGAGAAATATTGGAAGTTTGTAGTAATCCCTCGATGATTTTAGAGTCATAACCGCCAATTGACACTTTTTCGTTGGCGCAACTTAGTTTTATCAGCACCAATTCGAGTAAACTATGCAGAACCATTGTATTAAATGTGGTTACAGAACCGTGACCTAAGGCTACTTTAAGTAACTCTTGCAAACAAAATTCGGATTCCGTATTTGCGTCCATTAACTATTGCTTGCTGATTTTTTACTACAATAATTTTGTGAAGAAGTTTTCAGTGTATTAAAATATTGAAAACAAGATGTTAATTTAATTTTTATATATCAATTCAATTTACTTGAAATAAATCTCTGAGCTGAGATCAAGACGAATTTAACAAGGTATACATACATAGTTACGACCATGATTTAATAATTTCCAGGTAGTTTCATTCGCTATTCGCAATCGGCTTCATAGCTATCTGGCACTGAACGTGTTTCGGTTTTTCGTATCACCCTCCTCTTTTAAAAAGTCTACCACTTTTAATAAAAAGATATGTGGAAAGTTTTCATATTTTTTAAATTCTAATAAACTTCATCGAGTGAATGCCTTTCATAATTGTTGTATTATAACTTTGGTAAATTGTAGCAAAATGTCAGAAAAGGAAGAGATTCCCGCACAAAAAATTAAATTGAGTGGAAGAAGATGAGGAGCTGGCTGAATGTGCTATATCAACGTTTGAACGCAAATCAGCCTCAAAGTTTTAGAGATGTGTCAAGGATATTTTTTAAGCAAACAGTATATCGTTTTCATAATTGTTGGTTTTATAGAAAAGTGCAAATTAATTATAAAAACCGGTTTTTTGTACAAAGTTTATTATTTTTGTATGAATTTAAAGGTTTTAATTTTTACGCTTCGTATCCAACCTTATTCAAATGGTTCCAACTGGTTTTTTGTGTATTCTTTGGCTTTTGGGCAATCGAAACAGCGCTTACATGACGGTAGCACTCGACAATGTATATGATTTTTATATGCATAATTGACTGGAGCAGTATCAGGATTATAAACGCTAATCACATTTTCAGCCGCCTTGCTTGCGTTTTCGCCCTTATTGAAGAAAAACTGTAAAATATGGCATATTTTTTCTTTGCTAGTATCTATCTTCGACGCACGTTCAAACAAAACTAAATCAACCAATCACAAAACTATCAATCGTTTTTTTAGTACGAAATGTCATCTAAAATCTATCTATCGAGATACAGATAAATAATGCCATCTAATGGCAAAATAATGGATTTCTTTTTACTGCACCTAATATTATATTAGAATTGCTAGCTAGAAGAAGGAAAGTCGGGTCGAATTAAGTGGCGAATTCCCCCAAACCTTGTATGATAGTGCGCATTGGTCAGTCGCGTTGGCCAACAATAAAAAAATTTTTCTGCAGAAGACGAAAGTACAATAAATTGCCTTTGCAGTGTGAGTAAGTTGAAAATGAAAGTGTCAAGAAAAGCTGAAATATTTAAGAACAAAGAGGCGGAGAAAAGAAAGATTAAATATTCTTTACTACAATACTTTATTATTTTAAAAACTGCCTTAGAGAGGCATGTCCCCATTCCTACAATCACTGATAAATCATGGTCCAGTGCATGGTTTTCTTCAAAATCTCTGAAATTAATTAAATTACCAAATAGACTGCATTTCTTATGGAAAAAGAATCCTTCGCTAGACAATTGAAATGCTTTTAAATCGGCTCATAATAGAAAGACACTCATTTACAGAAGCGAAAAACGTCTTATTGCCTTCCCTAAACCAATACTGCAAACGGATGTTAACTGGAATATCTACTCTAAAAGGGTAAGAGGTTTGAACAATAAGAAAAACTTATATTTACACAGCTTAATTGATGGTGGAGTACTTATTGGTGTTCAAACTGACCTTGCTACTTCAGGAGCTCATTTTGCGAAGTCGGAAGCGATGGAATTTTTCTTCGTTAAAATACTTTTGGTTAATAAAAATATTTATATTGTTGCCAGTTACACCTCGAAAAATTCTGACTTTACCTCAACTCGAGGTAATGCTCATAACATCACATATATAACATAAAGAGCTTTCTGATAAGGGTCTTTTTTCAAATAAATATAGTTCATAATAAATTTTGGGAAGACTTTGGATATCATATTTTTGATGACTCTTCGTTATTTCCATATTCGTAGGTCGCTGCGATCCTTTTCGTTTTGCCCGAAAATCATCCCTCTCTCGAATTATTCTTAGATGTTCCCT